TGCCATCCTCACTGTCCCTTCAGTTTCTTCTCAACCCAGTAGCTTGTGTGATTCTGTTAACACATCATCAAATTATCATCCCCTCCTCTACCCAAAACCCTCTGAGAGCTCCCATCCTGGGCAGAATAACAGCCGAAGGCCCTGTCACAGCCCAGAAGGCCCATGCATGGCCTCTTCGACCTACTTTCCTCTCCCATCCCAGCCTCATGTGGCCTCTTCCATGCGGTGGAACAATCTGGGCACACTCCTGCCTCAGGGACTCGGCAGGCCTTGATTCCTCTGCTTCCCTTTGCTCCCTGAGGCCACAGCTCTGCCCCCTCTCACCTCCTTCAGGCCTTTGCTCATTGCCACCACCTCTGTGACGCCTTCTCTGAAAATCTTATTTAAAATATTTCTGTAAAGTTGTCTTTGTGGCTAAGTAGATCAATGTTTATATATATGTCCCCTAGGAATAAGAGAAGAAAGCATAACCTCTATTTGTATACTTTATGCATATTACATTATGTGTTACATACCTACCAATATACATATTCACCTCCATAATCTCACTTGTTAATTATTGTTGTGTATAAGTTACTTCTAGAGGCAGTAGAGTGAAGAGGGTGATTTCTCCAGTTCTATAGCTAGAGTGTGAGGGTTCGAACCCCAGCTCAGCCACTTACTACCTTTAGGCAAATTCCCAACCACTCTGTGTGCCTCTGTTTTCAAATCTGCAAAATGGGATAATAATTGTACCCATCTCGATTGGCAGGGAGGATTAAGAGAGTAAAGTGCCTGACATAAAATCAACTGCTATATGTGTCAGCGCATGTAATTTCTCTCATTCATTCACACATACTAACTGAATGTCTACTGTGTGCCTCGTACTGGGGCTAGCTCCTTGAATCTTCGTAAATTTATTTTATTTATGCGATTTGCCAAATATGAAACAAGTGTGTTAAATTTGCCAGCTGGGATTTTAGTTTTATTGCGTTCTCTTATATTTATAAAGACATGCCTGACAGATTGTTTATGCTGTTCAGTTTTAAAAGGTTTGTGATCCTCCTACCTGCAACGATTGTTATTTTCTTGTTGTTGTAAATACCCTTCTCTGTCCTGTTTGATATACTTGGCCCTCAATGTTGTTTAATATGATATCAACACTGCCATCTGCATCGTGTTATCATTATTAGCATTTGCCTAATTTGTCTTTTCCATCTCATTACCTTGAGCTTACAAATCCTTTGTTTGGGGCATGTGTCTTGAAAAGAGGCTAGAGCCGCGCTTAAAACCCTTCGATCCGATTTGAGAATCCTTGCCTCAGTGGCTGCTTGCTTTTATGGCGATAACAAATAGATATTTTTTGTTCCATTTCTTCTTTTCGCTTTCTTTGTTTTTGACACATTAATATACTTTAAAAAAATCTTGGCTTTATTTTACACAAGTAACACATAAACATAAAAATGTCAGCTTGAAAGTATGTTGAATGAAAATTCCCTCACTGATTCCCTCACCACAGGAAACCCCTGTCATGGATTGCTGTGTGTTCTTGAAAGTTTTCCCCTCTGCATTTATAAACTGGAGCTTAGATTGATTACTTCCCTCCAGCCTCCTACAAAACGTGATCCTACTCGACAGACTGTTCTGGGCCTTGTTTTTTAAGATTAATGTGTCTTGGAGATCTTTCGATAATATTCTTTTTTTTTTGCAATGGCTACATAGGACTCCACAAGACGAACGTGCCACATCTCTTCCTTTCCCAGGCAGTAGTTAGGGGAGCGTCCCGTTGCCCTTTTGAATGGCTTCTATGTCTGGAAGGCAGACAATATTGCTATAAACATCTATCTACCTATATTTGGGGGGGAGTATGTGTCCCAAATATTTTTACAAACAAAATCGCAAGGTCAAAAGGTATGCGTTTTTCATTTTGCTTGATATTGTCTAAAAAACTGCTTCCCAATAAAATAGTATAAGAGTACCTGGTCAAGGGAATCAAAAGATAAGCCACAGACTGGGAGAAAACATTTGAAAAAGCCACATCTGATCTAAAAAAAAAACCAAACTATCATCGAAAAATTCAAAGAACTCTTGAAACTCAAGGATAAGAAAATGAACAACCCAATTGAAAAATGGACAGAAGACCTGAACAGACACCTCCTCATAAAAGTTATACAGGTAGCAAATAAGTGTATGGAAGGATGTTCAACATCATACATCATTAGGGAATTACAAGTTAAAACAATGAGACACCACTACACATCTATTAGAATGGCCCGAATCCAAAACACTGACACTATCGAATGCTGACAAGGATGTGGAGCAACAGGAATGCTCATTCGTTGCTGGTGGGAATGAAAACGGTTCAGCCACTTTGGGAGACAGTCTGGCAGTTTCTTACAAACTACATATACTCTTACCATATGATCCAGCGATCATGTTCCCTGGTATTAAACCCCAAAGAATTGAAAACTTCTTTCTACACAAAAACCTGCACACCAATGTTTAGAGCAGCTTTATTCATGATTGCCAAAACTTTGGAAGCCACCAACATGTCCCTCAGTCAGCGAATGGATGTGAAAGACTCAGGCACAGCTCAGCTCCCCGCTCAGGAAGGGACCGGCAGCCCAGCTACTGACAACCTCCAGCTTTGGCTCCTTCCTTCTTCTCAGGGGGTCCCTAGCTGCTGACCGACACCTAAAGGGTCCCAAGGCCTGTCCAACATGGGGCCCTTTCAGCAGGCAATTTTTGCTCCAGGGACTTCAACGAGTGAGAATGTGCACTGTTATTATTTAGCTCCCAGAGAGATACATTTTCATGGTCCCTCTGTCTCAACCTCTCTCCTCCTCCAAATCAGCTTGGCCTATGGATTCTTCTGTCCTGCCAAGCATATGAATCATCTTGCATCCGTGTATGGATCTTCAGGTGAGAGATCCTGCTTTCAAGGGCAGGCTCTGAACCACAGGGCCAGGGTTCGAATCCTGACTCTGCCACTTACTGGCTGGTTGACCTGGATCAAGTTATGCCACTTCTCTGTGCCTTAGTTTTCTTACAAAAAGTGTTGATAAAGATAGTTTCTGCCTCAGAGGGTTGTAAAGATTAAATATGTTGATCCTACTAAATCAATTGATCAGGGCCCACCAGAAATAAGCTCTCGACATCTCTCAGCTATTTTTATGGGGAACTCACAGGACGCTCAGTTAAATTTGAATTTCAGAAAACAATAAACTTTTTTTTTAGTGCGAGTATGTCCCCCCAGAATTTCTGTTCTCATTTAAGCTGTCCCTAAACTCATTATAGTGCCCTCCAGACCAAAGTCCCTTTGGTGGAACAGAATTCAGGCTTCTTAATGCAATTAAGTTTGCAAATAGTACTCTTCACCAATAATTTCAACACACATAAGCTTAGGGTTTGGTTTTATAATAAAAAAATATTTTATTGCAATTTTTTTTCAGTTAACAATGTCTGAACATTTTGGAATTAAAGTATTGGACTTCTTTCTAATACGTGTAGGTCCATCTCATTTACTTTTAACACAGTTTTCTACTTTAAAATGTAAGAAAATATAGTTACTTATTTCACTATGGGAAAACATTTAAGTCGTTCCCGATTTCCACCACACACATTACTGTAACGAACAGGGATTTGTGAATAAAAGTCACAAGAACATTTGCTCTACCAGGTACTAAAACATACAAAGCTAGAACAATTAAAATGGCGAGGTGCCGTCGAGAGAACAATGTAATAAAATTCAAAGCCTAGAAACTGACTCAGTACATACAGGGACATGCTATATCATAAACATGGCATTTCCAATACATAGATGAAGGATGGGTGACTCCACAAATGATGCAAGAACACCTGGGCCACGGGGGGCGGGGACACAGGAAGCCAGCTCCCCATCTTACATGCGTACGTTCCAACATCGTTAGAATTTTACGTGAAAAGCCTGAAACACACACACACACACACACACACATACAAAACCTGGAAGAAAATAATAAATTAGGACAAATGCAGTTGTGTAAATTTGACACAACAAGTGTTTCTGCGAAGGCATTCCCCAGGGAGAGTTACAGGCCAACACAGAGAGGTCCGCAGTGTGTACACCCGGAAGCCCCGTGCACGCAATTACAAGACAAACCACAAACTAGGACAATAAAATTGGCACCATGCATGAAAGACCACATAGAAATAGTTTTAAAAACTTCATCAGAAAAAAGGTGAACCTCCAACAGAACAAAGTCCGTAACGGACTTGGCCCAGTAAAAACATCCCGATGCCCATAACACATGAAACTATGTGCAAACTTGAAAGTTACCAAATAATGCAAGTTAAAACAATTTAATGCCTTTTTTTTTTTCATATCAGGAAGGCAAGTATTTAAAAGAACCATAACCCCCTACTGGGCTCAGACACAGACCAAAGCGCCTCGAACACAGCCGGCTGGCAGCAGCTGGAGTTGTGAGGTGTTTCAGGAGGATGGACAGCTGGGTGGTTTGGAGTATCAGCCCTAAAATATGCGCGCCCTTTGGCCATTTTGCTTTTTCTGTTGTTGTTGAGCAATTCTTCCTGAGTTTTTCACAGTAGACTTGGGTTCAGGACACCCTTCTCCTCCTGAATTTTCCAGGCCCCACCAGTCTGGGTGTAGGAAGGAGACCACTTCAGCCAGGAACCAGCACTGCACACTGGTGGCCTGCCCATGGTGCAGGTCCTGCAGCCCCCTGAGACTCCCCAGTCACCTTGGTGAGACCAGCAGGGCTTCCGGTGAGCTCACCCCTTTACCGCACAGGTTTCTTGGCATGACAATCAAGACTGGCACTTTGCCACCACCTCTGGGGCTGCAGGGCCTGACCAGGCAGGTCCAGTCCTGTGCTGCTCTTCCAAGCCTGAAGCCCCCGAGGCCCCTGGCCCGGCTCCTCCCGCACCTGGGCTGGCATCCTGAGTTCGTGCCTGCCAGGGGACTCAGCGTCAGAATAGGCTCTGACTGAGACGGGACATCCCAGAACAAGCTTAACTCAGACCTTAAACTCACTCTAATATTAAATCGGTGAAAAGAGAAAGAAGAAAACAGCAAAAACAGGAAAACCTGGGAAAATAGAAAATGAAGGTAATGGAGTGGGTATCTATGGGATGCTCTAAGACTCCAGAACCTAAGAATGTGTGTGAGAGAGAGAGAGCGAGAGCGAGAGCGAGAGCGAGGAGCTTGACCTTGCAGAAGGTCAGAGGAAAAGAGAGATGGTTGACCCATTTTCCTGGTCTCTTCTCCTCGGCTTTGTAGAATGAGTGTGGAAGGGACCAGGGCTGGTGGGAGAAAGACAGGGCAGGAGGGAAGACAGACCTTGTCCTTCCACTCAGCTCCCCGGGGTCCACGGGGTCTCAGCACACCTCCCCAGGCCGGCCGACATCCCTGGGGGGCAGTGACAAGTAGTCCTGCTGTTTCAGGGCTTTGAAGAGCTGAATGGCTGGCACCTGGGGAATGGCCTGGCAGGGGGGCTTCTTGGCCTGGAACACCTGGTCCAGGTCCCTGATCTGGGGGCAGGGTCCCGGAGAAGAGGACTTACTCTGAGGTGAGAGAGGGCCGGACCCCACTCCAGGAAGGAAGCAGTAATCCCCCACCTGTTGCAGGACCAGGAGCCCCTCGGGGTGCGGGGAGACTGGGGCGACCTCTGCCTGGGGCTCTCTTGGGCTCAGGACAGGGCCGCTAGCTGCAAGCGGGGCAGGACTTTCCAGAGGGGGCTTAGGGGACTGGCCCATGGTGGGAGGGAGCTCCACGTAACCCTGATACTCTGGCTTTAGGGAGCCTGGGGCTACGGGGAGCCCACTGGCCAGTGCGGGACTGAGGCTTTGGTTCTGGTCTGAGGGGAGGCCCAGAGGGGGAACCTGGGAGGCAGACGGGGTCCCTTTGGGTGGAGTGAGTGCCGGGTCTGCAGTGGTGACATAACCAGAGGCCATGACACTGTCCTCAGGACCCCTAGAGGCAGTGGACAGAGCTGTGGGGCTGTCCTCTGGGCCCTGACCACCCATCGGCCCAGGAGCAGGAGGGGCGGGGCCTGCCCCTGACTCCAGGGAGGGGCTCCCCTCAGCACTCAGGCAGGGCCTCCTCTCCACACCCGTGGCCTGGCCTGGATTCCTCACTTGGGACAGTGGGGTCAGCTGCACTTGCTCCCCTGCGGGCAAACACAGATACTCCAGGGAACCTGGAGGCAGCGGCTTCTGACTCATGCCCGTCTGTGGGGGAGGCTCCTGGCCCATGAGGTTAGGCAGGGAGAGGTAGGGGCCGTTGAAGTCAAAGCCGAAAACCTGGCTCTCGGGCCTGCTCAAGGGGGCCGACAGGCAGAGCTGGGAGCTGCGGGGAGGCTCTGTGGGCAGGTCCAAGGCTGCTGGAGTCATGTGAGGCTCAGAAGGTGAGTCGCTGGCAACTTTAGGGTCTTCTATGGTGAGAGGTGACACCTCGCTGTGCCTACGGACTACGGGGCACACCCTGTGGAGAGAATAGGTACAGGGATGTTGGGACAACTTTGGGCAGACACCTTAGCTGAGGTACCAGGGACTGCGGGGGAGGGGACGCTGCCAGGCCTGGAGTGGGGCAGGAAACCACGCTTGCCTTCTGTCTCCCCACGGACCTGGCCCTCCGGCCCCCACGCTCTTGTGCGAGGTCTTCCTCGGCCCAGCGTGCCCCTCCCGCCCTGTGCCATTTCCCACGTGCCCAGCCTGTGCACACTCGGTCATTCCTACACCCCTTTAAACCAGGAGCGCAGTCCCCTCACCTGAGGGTTAGTAGTGAGCTGGTGGCCCCAGTGCTGGCCATGATGGGTCGAGTGCCCCTCGGTCACCCCATGAGGCCAAGGCACTGTGGGGTCTCCCTGGGCAGCAGGGCACAGAGCGGTCAGCCGCTCCTGTTTCCCGCCTCTGCTCAAGCCTGAGGCGTGGCCCTTGCCCACCTGGGAGTCAGGTGGCTCTTCCCCACGTCCAGCCGGGATGACCGCCCCCATCACCGCCTTAGGGCAACCCCACCTGCAGGGGTCTCTCTACACTGAGCCACAGGCCAGACGCTGCTTCCTCCAGGCCCCCCCATGTGCGCTGTGGGGCCACTCCCCCACCTCCCAGGGACCCTGGGCCCAGACGCTCACCCGTCCAGCCCAGGGAAGCCGCTGGCCCCCGGTCCCTTGACTGAGGCGCTTCCGCTGATGAGGACCGACGTGCTGTCTGGGAGCCAGAGCCCAGCACTCCCCTGCTGGAAGAAAGGACATTCGTGCCTGTGGCGTGGGGGTTTGGGGTGACAAGGAAGTCGTCGAGCCCCCAGGCACGGGAGGAACCTCAGCACAGTCAGGCCTGGACACTGTCTTGTGACACCAGGAAGCGGAGGCCAGAGGGGCCTGGGACTTCCCCCAGGGTCCTCCGCCCCAGCGTCTGAGGACAGGGACCCCGTGGCGGTGAGTCTGCTCATCTGGGGTGTGGCTGCCTCCATGCTACCCCCTCGCCCTCCCGCACCGGCCTTGAGACCCTCCACAGGCAGAGCTGGCCCTGCCTGGCCAAGGCCTCCCTTCACTCTGTGGTCATCCTGGCCCCCCGAGACGTGCCCGCAGCCCCATTGCCCACCTGCTCAGTTCTCTTCATGAAGTGGTTCTGTCTCCAAGCCCATATGCCTCTGCCTGCAGTGACCTTTCTCACCTGGTACCACCTCAAACGTCAGCTCTGCTGTCCTGTCCTCAGGAAGCTACTCTGCCTCCCACCACCCTAACACCCTCAGAACTAAGCCCTTCCTGAGCCCGCCCTGTGCTCCTGGCCTCCCACACCCGACTCTCCTGCTCCACGTGGGCACCTCATGCACCAAGGGGCCCAGGGGTTTGCAGGGCTGAACTTGCAGGAGCTAGCTCGACTCTCAGAGCTTCCCAGCCCCATCCCCCACCCTGGCCCTGTAGGCCCCGTATTCAAAGCCCCCCAAAAAGTAAAGAAGGTGGGGGCATGGAGACATGAGCACAGGTGCGGAGGAGCCCCTACCATCCCAGGCGCCCTCCCAGCCAGATCCTACCTGGAACAGGTGGCTCTTACTGGGGTTGGGGATTTTCTCCTCCCATTTCCGGTTCAGCCTGGAAAGACAGCAGGGAGGTGATAGCCAGTAGAGGCCTCAGCGCAGGGAATCCAGGCCCAGGGGGAGGGCGAGGTAGCAGAGCAGGGACTGAAGGGAGTGGCCCTGAAGTTCCTGGGGCCACCTGGGGTTTTGGGTGCCCCACCCCATCCACCGTGGAGTCCTCTTACCTGTAGCCATACATGCCACAGAAGCGCAGGGCCGGGAGCAAGGCGAGGGTGATGAAGACCAGGATGACCGCCAGGACCCACATGGGCAGAGCTTCCGGGCAGCCAGGAAGGAAAAAGGAGCATTAGCATCTGGGGAGGGAAAGGCTGGAGGCCCAGGAGGTGGTGGCAGGTGGAGCCATGCCAGGGCGCCTCCAGACCCTGCTCTCTGCTAATACGGTGCTCCAGAAGCTCACTGCATTTAAGGGTGCAGAAGGGGAGAGGGGGCCAGACATGGTCTGCACCCCCACACACAATGTTCGAGAGCTGGGGAGGACACAGTGGAGTAGATCCTTTTCAGCAGCAGAAGGTGCTTGCAGGGGGGACAGTGACTGAGGCTTACGGAAACCGTGCGGGACTTCCTGGAGGAAGTAGCAGATAAGCTTGGCTTGAAGGAACAGATAGGATTGGAGAGGCAGAGATGGGCAAAGTCATGCTGGTGGAGGAACTAGCAGGTACAAAGGCCTCAAAGGGCCCCCATACTTCCTGTTGGGCACCTCTAGCTCCTCAGAGACTGGGCCCCTGAGTGACTTCTCTGGTCTTTTTCTCAGGCCCAGCAGTCCAGCACTCCTTCCTGCTTGATTGTGGCCATCTCCCTGGGGCTCCTCCCCCCGTCAGGCTGCCTGGGACTGGGGTGCTTGCTGCCAACACCTCCTCCATCCTCTCTCCGCAGCCACCTCCTAACCCCAGTCTTGTACGTGTCTCCTGGTGGACACCATAGTGAAAAGCGAGAGACAAATGAAAGTAGCAAGTGCAGGGAAATGGGGAAGATTAAGGTATCAGACCCAAACCTTCCCATCTCAGACCTCTGGTTACAGCTCCTGACGCTCGCTGCCACAGCAGCGGGAGTTTCAGGCTGAGTGGTCACTGGGTAGTGGCTGCCACAAAGATTAAGGAAACTAGGGGCCATATTAGTAGAGGGCTAAGGTCTGGTGAGGGAGGAGTGACGATGAGACCTGCTCCTCTCTGCTCTCTCAAGACCTTCTCTGCAGTCTGTTGCATGCCATGTGTCACTAGAAGGATGCTTGGGCGCGAGAAGGTCATGTCTATGTGTCCGCATCGCCCTGTCCTCCTCCCAGCTGGGCTGTAGCAGGAGGGGTGGGTGGGGGGCCGGTGAGACATACCCCACTCAGTGTCCCAGGAGCACTCCTCACTCCATTCACTCCAGATCCCATTGTAGCCACTGTAGGGCTTGACCCTCACTCTCGCCTGGTACCTGGTGGAGGGCTCCAGATGTGGCAGTGACATGCTGTGGGTGTTCTGGAGGGGTTCTGTCTTGCTCTCCTGTGGGTTCAGGTGTGTCAGAATGCATGCCGAGGCTGAGGCAGCTTTGGGGGCACAGCTGCAAATTCCTCCCACCTCGGTACCTCAGGTCTCTGCTACCCGGCAGCTCCTTGCTGAGGCCGCATGCCCAGGTCTGAGGCAGGTGCAATCCTACCACGCAGGACCCTCGCCTCGGCCCACAGACAGAGTACTCCAGTGGGGAACGGGGACTGCACCTTTTCCAATGCCCCCCTCTGACATACAACAGCACCAAGGTTCAGAAACCCTGAAGGGTCACCATGTCCCACCCTCACCTCGAGATCCCTCAAATGCCCAGCTCCTTGAGGACAGCCTGAACCCAAATTATGGCCTACCCAAGAATACAGTGCAAGTGGCTGGACGCTGGACTCCGAGGCAGGGGTTTAGGAGCCCGGGGCTTAACCCCAGCTCCACCACTGACCCACCCGTCCTGGCCTCAGTTTCCCCATATCCAGCCTGAAGGTCTGGGGCTGGCTCCGTGGTTTCTGGTCTGGCCTCTGTGGAGCCCCAGGTTCTGCACATGAACTGGAGGGCTGCCTCAGGGCCGAGCCAGAGACCGAGCCCCAGCCTGGGGCCCTGCCTGCTTCATCAGGAGCAGCTCTGCCCTTAGTGGGTGGGCATTTGCATTCCGGATTCAATTCCTCTGAAGAAATGTCTCCTTTATGACTTTTGAAAACACTTCATCCAGCGTCTCTCAGCCCTCCCTACCCTGACATCCATGTTCCCTCTGAAATTCAGGGTCACGTATTAATTTTGGCTAAGTTACATCATCTTATGTAACTTTCTGAGTTTCTTCACCAAGGGACGGGACAGTGACCTGCTGACCACATGGAGTCGTGATCACGAAGTCCCAGTGGCTTCCTCTGACCGGTCACTTGCTGGGGCCAGGCTCCTGGCAGGTGGTGCCCTCCTGCGTATGGTCTCACATCCCTCCCCACCGAGCCCCCCCCAGGGCACAGGCCCCCCTCACCTGCCACGAGGCTGCGTCCTTCTTGTACTGGACCTCAAAGGTGTGCTGTATGTGCGAGAAGGCCATTTTCTTCACTTCCCAGCGTAGGATGTAGCTGTCTCTGCCCTTGGTCACGTTGAGCGTCGGGGGAGCCATCTGGACTGGAGAAAGGAAGACGGTTAGAGGACATCATCCCTGACATGCCTCCCATGGAACATCCCTGTGTTCCACGCCAGTCACCGGTGCTGTCTCCACTGGGTCCTTGGGTTCCCATATCATCCATTGTGACCTGAGCAGCCCTGTTCTTGGTTGATGCTGAATGATACTTGTTTTTTGTCTTTTTTCTTTTCTTTTTTTTTGACTTACACTTGTTTTGTAGTGAGGTGACCCAAAGCATGAGTTACTCCTAGCATTTAAAAATAAAATCACTATAATGGATTCTATTCTAGAGTAGCAACTGTTTTATACACTGCTGGACATGCTCAATCTACATGAATTAGTTCACGCGATTCTACCAACAACCCTAGGAGGTAGATACTATTAACGTGTCACATTTTACAGATAAAGAAACTGAGCCCCAGAACAATTAAGTCACTTGCCAAGGACAGGCAAGTAAGAGGTAGCGACAAAGGTCGTGACCCAGCAGATCCCCGGAGAGTAAATGGTAGATTCAAACCCAGGTGATTAAGACAAATTGGCCACTATCTGTGACACACACTAAAGACGGGGTGGAAGAACTTGGTCAACTAGAAATAATGTGGGGGTTCTACACATGCGTCCCCTGCTACATAACAGCAACCAGGGATATTAACCCGCCAGAAACTGCAACTTATTCACACACACTCTGGCCTCCAGGTGAAGGAGTAAATCATAAGACGATTATTTTGAAGGCTGAAAAGATTTACCGGGGAAGACTTTGGAAATCTGAAAGAGAAAAATCCTATCAGTGTCTAAAAGGGAAAGTTCTGTGGGAGGACCAGGGAGGCTTGGCTGGCAGCAGGAACCTCAGCACAGCTGCAGAGTTGGAGAGAGAGAGAGAGATTGAGGAATGGAGGAAAAGGCATTATGGACATGTTCCTGGGGGAGAGCAGCTGAATCTTACTAATTGCCTCCGTCATTGTTGTATTACTGCTTCTTGAGAAATTCAAGAAGAGATTCTAACTATGTTTGTTCACTTTGCTCATGGGACTGCATTTCATTCAAAGTGACAAACATGAAGACTGGGCCACTTGGACTTTATATGGGTTACACAATGAAACAGCGCTGTCCCCCAGACGAACCCCTCACCCCCTGCCCGTGCCACAGAAGGCTGGGGGCAAACTCACTGTTGTTTGAGCTCTCTATAAATTTCTCTTCCTCCTTAGGCCGAACAGAGACGATGTACTGGCTGTGGCTTTCGGGATCGGGCACCGGAATCTGGCACCGGTGCCGGATGTAGGGGCCGCAGGCCTCCCTCAGCACCGGCGAACATTCTTTCTCCCTGAGGACCACGCAGAGGTGAGGGTGGGAGGAGGCAGGGTCTCCGGGAGGGATAAGAACTTACAATCAGCTGCAGCTACTGCTGGGGGCCCCAGAGGCAGGGGGAGGGTAAGACTTGGGAGGGGGCGAGTAGACAGAGGATGAGACCGAGGAAAGGGACACTCACTGTGTATTGGGGCTGGACTTGTAGAAGAGGGTGAAGGAGAGCGAACTGGTCACCCGGGACCTCACTTCCCAGGAGCAGCTGAGCACGGCACCCCCGTCGAACAAGCACTGGAGGTTCTGGGGCTGAGCTTCGTCCCCTGGGAGGCGAGACAGTCCCTCACTCATTCTCTCCTTCATTCATTCCCTAGCTCTCAGTGGCTGCCCACCACGAGACTCATCACAGGGAGATCATGGGTTCTGGGGCCCAAAGGACCAGGTAAACTTCAGCCTGCACCTGCCAGCTGTGTGCCCACAGGTCAGAGAGCGAATTCCGTGAGCCTTCGTGCCTCCCATGTGAACGGGGAGAGCATCTAACTGCAGCATTGGGGGATTTGACACAAGAATGGAGGTTTGCCCGCGCGTAGTATAGCTCTCGTGAAAACACAGCGGCTCGCGAGGCCATTGTGATGATCGTGATCATTATGACTCGCCAAACGGTGCTCAGACAGAGTGCGCAAGGTGCTGCCGCTGCCTCTGCAGAGTCACAGTGGGGTGAGTGGGCCCACGAATGACTCTAAACACACGGCGGAGAAGGTTGGTGGAATCCCGCGGTGTGGACTCCTGGTCCAGGCCATATTGATTTGCCTTCTGCGCAAAGGAGCATCGCCCCGAGCCGGCTCCATTACCTGGCTGGGAGTCCCAGCGGACCTCCGGGCTCCACTGGCTGGGCCGTCCCGAGAGCCCTGAGCCCGGGCGCAGCCGGGTGCGTACTCGGGCCACGTAGGTGCTGCTGGCTATGAGGTGCTCTGGCCCCAGGATGGCCTTGGGGGAGGTGGAGTGGAGGGTGGGGGCCTCCTGTTGGGAGAGAAGGGTTGCTGGAGCGAATGCTGGCTGGGCTGGCTCCTTGTGGGCCTGGGGCCGAGCTGGCTGAGGTCCGTACCTCCCAGGAGTCCTGAAGCCGCCTGTAGACCACCTCAAACTCCAGGTGTGACAGCCACTGGCTCTGGAAACCCTCAAGGGCCACATTCCAGGTAAGCATGAAATGGTCCCCAGCATCATCGATGTGGAGGTCCTTGGGTGCGGGGGGCTGCACTGGAGGGAGAGAAGTCAAGGGCCTATGAGGGCTTGATGACCATGGGGGTGGTTACGGGCCTGCATGGCCTTTGTGGGGACAGCCCTGGGTTCCAGGCTGAGCCCTGCCCCCACCAGCCGAGTGACCTTGGACAAGAGGTCGTCTATGGAACTTAGGCCCTTTATCTGACAAACTGTGGGAGTTCAATGTGGTCATGAATGAAGGTTGTGCAGATAGCTGTGCATATATAACATAAGCTCGATACAAGGTACTGGCAATTAAGCTCTAAATGCAACCCCTCTCTGTCCCCAGGTCCCCACTGCCCGAGGATATAGCCCGTGTGGCTCCACCGACCCAGCAGAGGGCCCTGTGGCTCATGTTACTCTCTCTCTGCTGTCCACCTCCTTCCCCTGTCCATCTGCCCAATGTCCTGCACCTCTCAGTGCCCAGCATAAGAGTCTCCTCTTCTAGAACCTTCTTGGATCCCCTCCCCTCGGCAGAGTCCTTTTCCTGTCCCACCACAGCCCGTCATATGGTCCTTACCCGGGGTTCTACGTGTTTACTCATCTGCCTGCCCTAGTTGTCAAGGAGCTTGTAGAGTGGCAGGGTTTGGGTCATGGTCCCCTTCCCTCTCCCCAGGGTCTGAAAAGGTTCAGTGAATTTAGGGGACAAAGTGAACGAAAACATGACTGAATACATATAGGCAACCTTCAACTTTTCATGAAATCATTCCACCAGCCAAGAGCAAGCATATCTCTGTAGGGAACTACAGGGCTGGGCAAGTGGGTTCGTTAATGAACAGCATGGCTCCTGCCTTCCTGAATCTTCTGTGCCCGAGTGCCCAGAGATGACTTTCAAAGAATTCAATAAGAGCCCAAGCAAGATGTGCGTGTTCTACGCTGGACATGGAACGTGGCAGTTAGAGCATGTGAGAGCTGGAGCTATCAGAAAATCTTCAGCCCAGGATGATGGACACATTACGCCATCTTCCGAGCCACAGCTGCAGCGGGCATCACTGATTAATCATTGCACTCCTAGCCCCCGAGGCCTCACGGAGTGGGCATCCTTCTCGGCATGGAGCTCTAGGAAGCGGCTACCAACTGACCCAACTAGGAACCTAAACAGAAAACCTATTCATCCAAAATGAGGGACTTTAGTCCATGCGCTTATTTCACAGATGGAGGAACTGATCGAGAAAGTGAAACACCCACATCTCCAAATAAGGGAGCCTGGAGCAGATCAGATGCACATCTGTCCTCTCCCCGGCACCTCAGAGCCTCTCTGATTTATGGCCAAAATGGTCAGGGAGGGTGGTAGCCTCAAGCTTCACAAGGGCAGGGATCCTGGCAGGCTTGCTTGCCATTTTCTTCGTGAATGTAGGGTTCAGTGAAGCAACAGATTAATGAATGAACTGCGCGTACATCCTAACTTTGCTTCGTATTGCCCATTTTCCCATCCCCTAGCCATACCTCAGTTGAATCCTCATCATTTCTCCCTGGGATGAATCCCTTAGCTCACATTCTGGGCTCCGAGCTCCCGCTACTTCCTATTCCCTGCCATCTTTCCTGTACACCACCCACCCCCCCACCTCCGCCGGCATCCTCACACCCACATCGCATCGTGCCATGCCCTTCAGGGGCTCCCCATTGCCTGTAAACTCTTTTGCAGGGCACAGAAGCCTCTCTGTGCCAGGCCCCTGCCTTCACTGGCCCCCTGCCTTCACTGGCCCCCTGCCTTCACTGGCCCCCTGCTTCTACTGAAGTCCAGCCTTCTTGAAGCTGATGCTCCCGGGACGCAATTATTCACAGGTATTCCTACCTGCCTCACCCTCCCAAGTTTCCCAGCCATCGTACATGCTGTTTCCTCTGCTCTTCCCGCTCTCTCCTCCCTCCCACCCCTCAGATGTCCCCGCCAAGCTCTTTCCTCTGGGTAGCCTGTCCTGACCTCTCACGGGCCCCTTGCCATTGCCCCTCGGCACGTGGCGTTCGCCTGCATTCAGTAAGTCATCACACCAGCAACACCTGGGGTTTCCTCTGAGCTGCACCCAGGACTCAATCCTTTCTCATCCACACTTGATTGAAATGAATTCAGCATGGCCTAACCCTCCCCCCGCTCCAGGCAACAATTTTGTGCTGCTGCATTGAAGAGGGAGGAAGCCAAGGCTGAGCCCCCGTCTGACACTTATGAGGAGCAACACCGGGTGACTCAGGGTTTGGGACCCAACACATTAAGCTCGGACACCAGCATCTGAGTCCCATGGGGCTCGTTCCTTCCTCTCTCAGCCTCAGTTTCACTCTCAGCGAATTAAGATAAAAATAGTGCACGACGCTGTACGTTATTGTAATTATTCAATAATATTGGGCAGTGTTTCCTAGAAGACAGCCGTCTGCAGGGCTCTTGCCATGCGAATATTAACTTTTAAAAACGACACGCCCTTATCTTTATTTTGGGCACAAACAAAATCGAATCAATGAGATCGGAGTGTTGGTTATATTTCTGTCTAATGTACATCGGATGAAGCCTAACTATTTAAAACGATCCTCCACACCCACCCAAGACCATTGACTGTCTTGGGCCATTGTGTGACACTGGGGGCCACTCAGCAAGGGCGTAAGGCGGTGAGCTCCATCTAACATGCAGGAAGCACTTGACAGGTCTGAGCCAGCACTGTCACTTCTGCTCAGTGGTGGGTGGCACTTGGAAAAGTGACAAAACCTCCCTGGGTCTCAAGTGCCTCATCTATAAGATGGGTCATTGCAGACATTGGGTGAGACAACAAACACGAAAGAGTTTTATAAATGGATACGTTTTCATGTGAATCATAAGAATGGTTATTCCGGAAGGCAAGCCTCCAGTGCTAAAAGGCAATGGCTCGGCAGGTGGTCGAGCTGCCGGGTCAGGGGTGACGGGGGTGGGAGGTACCTTTAGCCCAGGGCTCCTCATGTCGTACGTGCTCCATGCCTCCATCATAGGAGGCCTTAGCCTCTTTCCTCAAGAGACCAAACCAACCCCAAGCCTGTGTCTCCACCCCTTGAAGACTCTCACTCCCTGGCCCACCTCCTGCATTCTGGCCACCCCTGGGGCCCGCTCTCCACACTGAGACCCACCCTTGGGCATGGACCCAAGGCCTCACCGTGCTGGGCCAGAGTAACAGTGAGCTGGGTGTCCAGAGGCCTGTCTGGTCGGAATGAGAAGTAGTCTTTATCAGCAATGACGAAAAGGTTGTAGTTGATGATGCATGTTCTGGGCACACAGTGGAGGGACGGGCATTCTGACCAGGGCATGTCATCGCTGAGATCACAGGACACCGGCTGTGGGAGGCCCCTGTCAGGATAGGACATGGGTTTGTCCAGAGTAAAGAAGAATTACTCATTCACAACATTCCCGAGTGGTTCCCATGACCGAGGGGGCCCGGCAGCGAACAACAACACACACACACAAATCCCTGTCCGTGGGGCCGACATCCTGGTGGAGGGAGACACACAGGAAACAACTCGGTAAAGTAGCTTGTGTGTCCGAGAGAGAGAACTTCACAGAGATAAGCACAGCAGGGAAGGCGGAGGAAGAGGCCAGAAGGACGGGGGCGGGGCCATGCGATTGGGACTAGGGGAGACAGGGAAGGCCTGGAAGAGGTGAAAGTTTAGCAGAAACTTGAAGGAAGTGGGGGAGGAGCCAAGCAGGACATGGGGAAAGGGGATTTGGGGTAAGTGTAAGAGCAAGCGCAAAGGCCCTGGGCAGGCTCAGGTTTGCAGGGCTGCACGATGGCGTTTGAACACTGTAGAGTTTGTGAGGGTGGCAGTTCCGGGAGGCTAATTGAGAGAGGTGGACAGGAGGGCAACACTTAACAGGAATTTAAGGAACCTGGATTTCACCACGAATGGGGGGACATTTAAGAGTTATGTGCAAAGGAGTAAATGTATTCTGACACAGGCTTTGCAAGCGTTCCTTTGGCTGCAGAGTTGCTGATGGATTGGGCTGAGGAGCGATGGCACTATTAGAAGCAGAAGGACCCATTCTGCTTCTGGAATGTTCCAAGTGATAGGAAGCGGTTTGAACCAGGGTGGTGGGGTTAGCACTGGCCAGATGCGTGTTCTCTCTGAAGATAAAGTTAACGGCATTTGCCGATGGATTCGATACTCTGATGGGGAAGGAAAAGTGGTAAAGAGATGAAGACAGGACAGTAAAACCATCCAGCCGTTTGGCTTTAGCCACTAGGAACCCCCATTAGCGAAGTGAGATGGCAAGATGGGAGCAGGGGCGTCTCCTGGGGGTGGAGCCGGAGTCTGGTCTGGGATATTTAGGGCTGGAGACGCCTGTTTTCCAAAGGGCGAGGTGGAGAAACAAATGCACCTATTGGACTGGAGCTTAGTGGGAATCCCAGGGCATCAAAGAGTGAAGGTCCAAGGACTGAGCTCTGGGGCATCTCGCCCTTCGACTTCAAGACAAAAGAAGAGAGCGGACAAGGAGACAGAGGAAGGTGGGCCAGGGACACGCAATGAGAAGGGGTGAGTGTGGTGGCCGGAAGTCAGGAGAGGGAGGTGTTTCCGGAGGATGCCGTGGTCAGTCTGAGTCAGGCGAGCCTGTGGGTCAGGAGGGAGAAGGCTGAGACTGACCCTTAGACTCCGCACCAGCGAGGGCTTTGCCGACGTCGGCAGAGTGGTTTGGGCGGCCTGATGGGGGCAGCAGAATCCTGGGAGAGTGGGCTCAGGAGAGAATAATTGGTAAGGCACCGGGTACAGTGGGGTCTGGACAACTCTTGAGAGGGAAGCGGACAAAGGGAAGCAGATGAAGGGCCCTGGCTGGGGGACGTGGGGGCACCCTGGAGCTGCAGATCTTCTTGGCTTCTGTAAGTGGGGCTCAGGCACATTGGCTCAAGATTGGGAATGATCCCGAGGCGTGGCCCATCGATGACACAGGGCAGAGTGGGAACTGTGGTGGCAGCAATGCCTTGAGCAGCCAGACCAGCAGAGACCCTGGCCGTGGCCTCGGACAGGACTGGAACAGGAAATCATGGCAGGACGATCCAGGGAGGCTGCAGACTTGTGGGCAGACAGTGAGAGCATAGAGGGGGCTGCGGGCTTCTCTTCGGGGTGTCTGGTGTCTCAGTGTGGGTGGAAGCAGGGCACAGCCAAGGTGGGTAGGTGGCGGTGGCAGCGAGGAGGGTGGCGAAGGGAAGATGGAGGCTCCCGGGATTGCAGGAGAGAGCTGAACGGCCACGCAGTGAGTGACGGCCGGCTCCTCCCCAGGGCGGCCTCTGAGGCTCCCCAAACTCTGTAATGTCAGCTGTTTAATTATTTCTATTACTGTGACTTAGACGCTCACCAAACCCCAGCATGGTGTGAGGCACTGGCCCAAATGTCCGTGCAAGAGGAAAGGACAAACCCCTCACTCTGGAGATGGCAGGGCCTGAGGGAGACGCAGAGCTCAGCCCTGCCGCGGACGGACGCTGGCCACGGAGCGGCCAGGGGAGGGGCCTCAGCTCCACGGCCTTGGTTTCCTCATCTGTGAACTGGGCATCCTGTCCCGCTCTGCCCGCCTCGCGGTGAGAATGAGCTAAGACGGACTTGTGTGGTGCAATTTTGTTAAATTGTGATGAAATAAGAGAAGATTCTCACCATCCGCTCCAACAACTTTAACAGAGCTGCCCTTCCCGGAAACCCCGGCATCGCACGCCACACGCCAGCCCCTGGGCCTGACAGGCCGCCTGATGGAGCAGGAGCTCCTGGGCAGGGCCCCCCACCTTCTGTCCTCTGTTCAGCCCCCCCACCCAGCACAGCCCCACATAGTAGTGCCCTCCCCGCCCTCTGGCCCCTGGGCCCCAGTGTCACTCACTCATTCAGCCTGCGGTAGAGGGTCACGTTGATGAGCCGCTGGGCATCCTGGGTGTCTGCCCACCTGCAGATGATGCGACTGGTATAGTCATTATGGCAGCGCAGGGTCTTCATTGGGATGGTCTCTGATCCGAGAGAGGCAGAAAGGGGGTCACACCTCTCCCCTCTGGGTGTTCATCGTCGCCACCCCTCCCAGCCCTTCCTGGGTGCCCAGCACTGGGGAGGGGTTTCCCAGAATCCTTTAGAGTCTCCTGGCTGCCAGACAGAGGTCCCCGGGGATCCTGGGCGGGCTGGGGACTCTGAGGGTGTGAGGGCGCTGGCTCCGGACCCCCCTGTCTGGATAGACACATACTATTCTAGTTGATTCACAGCATATTTCCTGAGCCCCTGCCATGCCCTGCTCCTGGAACAAACCCAACCCTAAGAGGCAGCCCTGCTCTGCCCTGCTCTGGGGCCCCCTGCCCTGGTCTGTGGTCAGCTGCCAGGCCCGATGGTTGGAAAGGGAATGTGGTTCCCACGGCTATCAGAGAAGTCAAGCTCTCTGGGAGCCCTTGGAAGCGGGATTCATAGGCCGGCCTCAGGAGCATCCCAGCCGGGCCTCCGGGAATGAGGAGATTGTTGGGGATGAAGCAGGAGGGGTTATTGAACTCGAAGCGGGGAGAGACCTTCAGGCTGAGGGCCCCAGCGAGGTGGGAACTGGTCAAGGCCACTGTCGGAGGAGCAGAGTGTCTGGAGGAGAAGGAAGTGCAGAGAAAAGGCCGGCTGGGCCGGCCTGGGGGTCAGAGGCCTCGAATGCCACGCTGAGAAATGCGGGCAGAAAAGACACACAAGTAGAGATGGAATTTATAGGAGGCCTGAGAAGAACGAGCAGGAGCGCGGGAGGAGGGAATGCAGGGCGGGGGTGGGGCGCCAGGGAAAGTCAGGAGAGAGAAGAAATGGGGGACCAGAAGGGAGAGAAGTCCAGAGCTGCGGGGGTCTGGCAGCTTCCTTGGGCATGCGTGAGGGACAGCCTCACCCAAGGGGCCCAGTGAGGAGAAAGACTGGGGGGCGGAGGCGGGAAAGCAGAGGGAGCACTCGGGTTCACCTTGGGCTCCCGCCAAGCTGGACCCCCAGCACAGAACCAGCAGGGCGATGGGGAGCAGCCGCCGGGTCAGCAGCATCTGCGGGTCAGCGCTGAATGAGGAGGGGCTGGCACGGGTGGGTCCAGGTCCGGGCAGGGTCCAGGTGCTCACTGGCCTGGAATCTTCCTCCCCGGCTGGGGGCCGGGCCAGACCCAGGTCATCCGCTACTGCACATCCGCCCTCCAGGACTCTGCCATCGCCAGGCCTGTGGAGGAGAGGTCATCTGGCCGTCGCCTCCTCCCTGATGCACACGCTCTGGCCCCCACTGCTGCCTCAGCCTGGCACCCTGGACAGTCCCTTCACCTTGGCCTCAGTGTCCTCTGGCGTGACCATGACAGATGCACTAATGGCTTCCGTGCAGGGCCCTCGTGGTGGGGAAACTTCCAGGAGGGCCAGATGTCTGATGTGCCCTGAGCTCCCTGCGGGCTGCCGCCCGACCTCTGCCTTGGGGAGTCACTGCGTGTTGGGGGCACAGGGCCCTCCCCTGAGCGTGATCACACACACACTCACTCACACTCAGGGCCTGGTGCTCTCCCCACCTCGGCCCGATTTACCAGCATTCCTCCCACACCGCTGTCTGAACGCCAGTTCCCTTTTCTCAGCAGAAGGCCGGGGATTTTCTTTTTCATTTAGTCAGTCAGTCCCTGGGAAGTACCCAGAAGAGTAGAACACAGCCTGAGGCTTGTTTTCTCCCTGTAAGATAGTCCGAAACCACTCAAGCTGTGTGTGCAAGCATGCGCATGTATGCATGCATGTGCACGCACGCGCGCGCGCACGCACACACACACGCACACACACCCTGCGGCTGTCTTGCTGGGAGAAGCATGGCTCTGGACTCAGCTGACCTGACCTTCAACACGGGCTCTGCCCCACCCTTGCCGGTGGCCTGGGCCGACTCACCCACGCTCCCCAAACCTTGCTCTATGCATCTGTGCAGCAGGTGCGAGTACATATACCTCACATGACTGTCAGGAGGAGAACCAAATGCAGTGATGCTTATAGAGAGCTTAGGCCGATAACTGCAGGTTTGTTTGGAGCGAGAGGAGAGTGTTTGTCCATTTAGCTCCTGGGGACAGGGCAGTGCCCTGGGGTGGGCAAGGGTGACTCCGCATGGGCTGGCATGGCTTTGGGCTTTGCCTGCCTACTGGGACGAACGCAAAAATGCAGAGCTTCTACTGAGGTCTTATCGCAGGTAGAAATACTACACATGTGAAGAGAGCGATCCATCTCAAAATAAGTTATAGATGTAACACGATTCCAATCAAAATCTAAGATGGCTTTTGCAAGAACTCAAAAGAAAAAAATATATGTGAGAAGTTAATGAGATATTTAAAGATAAGGAGTCTCTACCCATTAGCAAAATTTATTAGAGAGATCTGACAAAAAAGCAATGTGTCGCTGTCTCACACACACACACACACACACACACACACACACACACACACACGATAGATCAGTGGACATACTGACCAAACAAACTCTATTTTACCCAAGAATGTGCTATATGATGAAAGAGGAATCATGAACCAACATAAAGTAATTGAATAATAACAAGTTTTAAGATAATTGAACAACAACAAAACATACCAGCCTAAATCCCTTTCTCACACCATTCCCCAAATATCAGGTTCATTTAAAATTTAAATGTAAGAATTCAAATCACATTAAGCTTGCAAACCATAGAATTGAATACCCTTAATACCTATTTAAGTTTAAAAGCAGTAGAAGAAATTAGAGAGACACAGTCTGACAGATATAAGTATATAAAAGCAAAATCTTCTATATTTTATAAAAATAACCAGACTGTAAAGCAAAGGACAAAGTGCAAAAAACAAAAACAAAAACAAAAAAACGTTTGCAGCAAAATTATGGAGAACAAATTATTAATGGTTAAAACAAATTGTCATCAAAGAATATAAGTATAAAAATTCGCTTATACGTAGAAAATTCATATTAGTGGCTAACAATTATAATAAAATGCTGACAGTCAGCCAGGCATTATTCAAAGGGCTTTACAAGTATTAATATACCAAATGTGTAGGTTACACCTATTAGAATCCTCACCTTGTAGATGAAGAAACACAGAGGGTCCACAATCACACAGCTGGTAAGGGACAGGCTGGGACTATAGACTACAGCAGGCAGACACTAGAGTTTGTGCTCTTAGCCACGATGCCAACAGTGGTTGTATTTCCTCGTCATCGTACATGTGTATTCTGATGCATACTGACCCAACAGACACTTCTACAGATGTGCATAAATACAGCAAAATAAAACAAAACTTTAAAACATCTTAATTAGCACCCTGGAAGGTTTGAGAAATCATAGCCATTTAAAAGAACAGACTGCTATGCAACAAAAACAAATAAATGGAGATCTTGGTGTGTGATGGTATGAGATCCATAACGTAAAAAACAAACGAACAAACAAACAAACAAAACACCTCAGTAATGGGACAAATTACAGAGTGAATACTATAATCATGTTACAAAGGTACGTATTGAAAACACAGCAAACGGGCAAGTAGATGGAAAGTCTTAGAGAAAAGTTAAGACCTGGAAAAGAAATCCAGAAATTCCAACATCTAGAAGCAGAGGACAGAAAGAATTGAGGGCAGCTGTGGCACAGTGTCAGCCAACGAGCTGTTCCCTTCCTCCTTGATAACAGAAGCTCAGATTTTAGCTGGACTTTTTTGCTGCACAGAATAAAAGACTATTTCCTACAGCCTCCTATCACTCGGTGTGGTCATGTGACTAAATGTTGTCCAAGGAGACATGAGTGGAAATGTTGGGTGTGATTTCTAAAACAAGCTGCTTAAAGGGAACTGGCTCAGGTGAGAAAGGTCCATTTTTGCCCTCCTACCTTTTCTCCTCCTTTCAGCCTGCAACATGGAAATGATGGCTGGAGCTCCAGCAGCTATTTTGGGCCATACATTTACCTTGCAGATGGAAATCACGTGAAACAGAAAGGAGAGAAACCTGGATCCCTTTCGTCACTGTGGGGCAACAATACCAGCCTGAGACTGCCTAATTCTGGACATCTTTTATGTGCGGGAACAATAACTTCTATATTGTTAAGCCACAGTTATTTGAGGATTTTCCATATGTAACCGAACAGATACAATTAGAAATAGAAGAAGATGTCGCAAGGCTTTAAAGGAGACAACAGTCCACTAAGCGAAGAGCAGGATTAATTTTTAACAGTGCCACTCAGTCACATGCTGACGAACTTCCAGTCACCCAAGAATAAAAGGGTAACCCTTGAAGCTTTTGGAGGAAAGAAAGAAACGGGCTATTTTCAATGCAGCAAGGGCCAGGTTGGCAAAATTTTCTCAAAAAGTTAGTGACCCCGAACTCTAAATAAACCGCGATGTCTAGAAAATACTGAAAGAATATATGTTTAAGCCTAGAATCATAAAAAGTCAAGCTTACTTGGAAGCAAGGGCGAAAAAACACAACATTTTGAAAATGTAAGGACAAAGGCAGGTTTTCAGACCTTGTCTGAAAAAAATTACTCTATGATGTATTTCAGAAAGAAAAAGTTTAAGAAAGAAAAGAAGAAAGCATGTGACACTAGACTCCGTGGTGAGAAAATAAACCAATACATTTCCAGCTAAGTAAAGAATTGTTACTGTAGAGAGTGAAAATAATACGTGATACCAATATTGAAGTAAAGCTCAGGCGATTTGAATGTTGGGACTTGGCTGTGAGGTTAGGGGCGGACGGCAGAGAAGTGAAAGCTTGCTAAAGACCTTGTCTCGTTTGGAGGAGTGTATACATGTTAATTAAACAAACTGCTGATGGAAAATGGAAGTTACATACATGCGCAAAAAACGTAAGGGTTAAAAATTACTAAGAGCAAGGGATGCATGGGGCTAGAGGATGACAGAAAGAGGTAAAGGCGAAGGAAGGAGAGGGAGAAAAGAAGAGAAAAACCAAACGCCTTCTCGCTCGGACTAAACGTACACACCTAAATCCCCAAACTCGTCGAGAAATTTAGCGGTAGGACTAAAACAGGAAATGAAAAGGAAAAAAAAAAAAAAGGAAAATACAAATTCACTCCAGACAAAAACAGTTTCAGAAGACACTCTGACAAAGGCTTTTAAAGGAAGAATGCATCATGGCCATGGAGGGGTTATTTCAGAAATGCACAGAGCCATTAAGACATCTATTCATGATTGAAAGAAACAGATTAACAGATGAAAGGAGGCAAAGGATGTTTATCTAGACAGATGCTCCTAAATATTCAATAGTACCAGAGCCATTCCTGATTCAATAAACCGTCAAACCTCTGCAAATGAGGAGCTGAAGGGAAGGTTGGCATTTCTGGTATCTACTAGAAACCTCTGGCAATATCAGAGTCAAAGGAGAAATGTTAGTGTCCTTCCCATCAGAGGCACAAACAGAAGCTGCCCACTATTGTCAAATGATCTCTAAATTCAATATGATCTAAATCAAAACTCCAAAAAAGTTCTGAAAGGATTTTTAATGGGCCTGACAAACTGATTCTAAACTATAACAAACCGCAGATGAGAGACTTGCTCTGTTAGCTATAAATATAATGAGGAATATAACAATAGACAGGTGGAACAGAAAACAGTGAGGAAAATAACTGAGTAGGAAATTGTGAAGGAATAATGGCATTTCAAATCACTGAGGCGAGGATGGGCTGCATACTTATAATTAACGATATTGGGACAATTAGCTAATAATTTTTTTTAAGTTGGATTATTATTTTACATATTACCGACCCTTCCAAATTCCAGACAGATTAAAAATCTAAAAGTCAAAACTAAAATTATAAAAGCATCACAAATATATCTGGAATCTTAGGGGTTGAACAAGACACTAAATCCAGAAAGCATAAGGTAAAAAATAATGACAGATCTGACTTAGAAGCAAGTAACACTTTTTTTTTTTTTTTTACATATGAAACAAGGTATTTTAAACATGATAGAAAAGAGACAGATGATAGTCTGGAAAGTTGTATTTGAACATACTTGAATAAATTGTCAATGCACATAATGAATGAATCACTCTGAAAGTGAATACGTAAAAGACAAAGAGTCAATCAGAAAGTGGACAAAAGATATTTCTGTGTACATCATGAAAGGAACTCGAACAGCCAATAAACATATGGAAGATTAAACATGATAGAAAAGAGACAAATGATAGTCTGGAAAGTAGTATTTGAACATACTTGAATAAATTGTCAATGCACATAATGAATGAATCACTCTGAAAGTGAATACGTAAAAGACAAAGAGTCAATCAGAAAGTGGACAAAAGATATTTCTGTGTACATCATGAAAGGAACTCGAATAGCCAATAAACATATGGAAGATGCACAATTTCACCCATAATCGGGAAAAAGAAAAATCTAAACAAGAACCAGAAAATTTTCATCCATTACGTTGGATACAGTTTAAAAATTGGTCCTTTCCTTAATGAGAAACTTGCCTTTTTATGCATGACTGCGGAAGTGTCTGTTAATTTTGCTGTTTGGAGGATGCTTTGACAATATCTATTAAATTTTTAAACACACAATTTCTTGTCCAGCAATTCTGCTTCTAGGAATCTGGGTTGCAGGATTTTTATAGGAGTGAAAGAATTGGAAACAACTTAAGTGTTTATCAGTACGGGATTGGGTAAATTGTGGTGTGCCCATACTAACAAATGCCACACATTTGCTAGGGTTAATAAATGAGTTGACTCTATATGTATTATTGTGGAAAGTTGCTGAAATATAACATTAGGTGAAAAACTAAGTCATAGAACAATGTTTATGTAATAATCCCGTTTTTGGACATAGAAAAGCTATCTACTTGCAGCATGTTGAGAAAATGTTTTGGAAGGATGCATGTAGTGAAGAGGGTAGGCTATGGGACTAGTGGATGGAGGTGATTGGGACCTTGTCTTCTATGCTGCATAACTGGATTATTCTAATTTTCCATAGAGCTGATATTCATGCACTTACTTGTTTAATATCAAATATGTTCATTAACTCACAAACTATCTTGTTTTACTGATGGAAGAAGCACAACGTAAGTAAAACTAATGAATAAAATAAAGTGACCTAAAGCTACTGGAAAAGGTTTTACTCATTATAAAGCTATTAGAAAAGAGGAAAGATGATAGGTAAATAAAAATTAGAATCTGGTTATGTAAAAGTGTAACAGAGCCTTTGAAGACTAAAACTTGCACATAGGCAGCCTGTCCCTGGAGGCTGTCTGGCAGTCCCTACAGGCTTGTACCCCAATGCAGACCCATAGAAACACCTGCCCTCTCATCCACAGGGCAAATAAGTACGTCTGCACATACCTGTACATATAAACACATACATGCAGACACCCCTAGATGCCCACCCACCCAGCCAACACCGTTGGGGACAGAACACACACACGTGGGTCCAAACCGAGCTAAGTGACAATGGTTCAGGGCTGAGTCTGATAGTAAAAACATTCTTTGAGGGAGAAAAATATGTCTGTGGGCAAGGGACTGGGCCCTTCTCATCTTCCAAGTGAGCTTCCCACGCCTCAGCAAGACTCCAGGTTTCGCCCTCCACCTCCCAGGCTCTCTGCATCGGAGCGTTCCCGGGGACATACGCCCACACTCTCTCTCTTCCTAAAGCAGGCTGGCAGGGACTATCGGTGCTTTTCTTATCCCAAAGATGAGGACGCAGAAGCCCAGGGCAGGGAGAGGACGTTCTCACTGCCACCAACACCGTGGTGACACCGTAGTAAACAAAACAAAGTTGGATGATACACAGGGGTGTGACTCCCAGACCCGAGCTCTTCACCTCCCTGGGTGTCCTCCCTGTTTCCAGGACAACTGAATCCCACCAGTGAGGCTCACCCTCCCCTCCAGCACCCAAGGGTGTCGGCGCCTCTGGCTGACTCCTCGCCCACCAGCTGCCAGTCTGGGCTCAGATCCTCTCCAGAAGTAAGTCCTAACCTCCCCCAGCCCCAGACACACCCGCCCACTCAAGGCTCCCCCATTCCTTCTGGCTCAGTCTCCCCACATTCCCTTGCTACATCCCCGCCTGTCGACTTGCTGCCCAAAGCCAGGCCGTACCTCTTAGTGGTGGGACAGACCGACATTCTCCTGGAGCCTCCAGGCAGCAGTGAGCGGCTCACGCTTCCTATTTGCACTGACGCTGCTAGGAAATGGAGAAGCAGAAAGAGGAAGCAACACTCAGGCCTGTTTCTGTGCAAGATTCTTCTTCATAAGATTGCTTAGCTTCTTAGAATTGTGGACACCGAGATAGCGACTTTTTTTCAAAGTTTTGGTGATTTTGCAAATTCTATTCCTTCTACCAGAAATACTTCTACCCCGACTTTGCCTCCCCGTAAACTCCTACGCCTCCTCTGCCAGCTCAGTGCAAAGCTTCTCCATGCGGCCCTCCCGATGCCACAGGGGAATGGTGGCTGCAACGATCAGAGTGGACGAGAGCCCCGAACCTCACGGACCTGGGCTGGACTCCCAACTCCACTATCGCTCAGCGTATGACCATGTGCAAATGACCTGCATGTGACTTCGCCAGGTCTCGGGACCCCTGCCTGCTACTTAGAGGGATCTAAAAGCTCGAAGGGCCGTTGAGGAAACCCGATGAGATGCCACGCGGCCAGACCTTGGCTCAGACGTGGCCGCAGCAACCCCCAAGGCTTAGCTGGTGTCATCTGGATTCCCCCGGTACCCTTTTGTCTTGCACCTCCCCACACCATCCCATAGTCCTCAGTGTTCGTGGCCATCAGTCCCCAACACTGTCTTCTGTGTGGCTCATATTTCTCTCCTTGGCACCCAGCACATGCCATGGTACAGAGGAGGCCCTTAGTGACTGTGTGTGGAATGAATGGATGAATGAATGAATGAGAAACTCCTGCACACAGCAGGGCTGGGGGTAAGGCAAACTGAATGAGGCACCCCATTGGGTACAAAATTTAAGGGGGTATCAAACTCTCAGTAATCAAGATAAATAAAATTTTAATGCGATGGTGTAAAAAATAAAAATCAATACCAAAAAAATCCACGATGAACAAAATATGAAATTTTAAATAAAGTCAGGCTCAGGAACGGTGCCACAGCGAGCCACTTTGGAGTCTGAGGCAGAGGGTAAAAGCAGTGCCTTTTCTCCTGAGCAGAGACAGAATAAGTGAAGAGGACACCTCCCAGGAAAGAGGGGACAGTAGCAGGGAAGGGGACAAGGGGTGAGGAGGGCCAGGAACCTGTAATAGAGCCGCTGGACTCCTGGCCTTCCTCCTGCGGGGAAAGGTACGCTTGGCCTGGAACAGCCTGGAACAGCCTGCAATGCCATCCGGGGCAGGGAAAGGCCAGGCTGTGGGGTCGAGGGGTGGCTGCAGGACCTGACTTCTCTTGGATCTTCTGCTGGTGTGGAGTCCCTTCCTAGAGTGGAGAGGTCATGCAGGGGGCCGTCCAGAGCCAGAGAGGAGGGACTTAAAGTAAAGTCCATGTCTTTTGTCTCCCTTAGGTGCTCCCACCCAGATCGTCCTCCTCTGTGTGCTGGCCAGGCTGAGGGCTGGGGACCCCAGGAGGAGTCCCGCCCAGGCCCAGTCACCTGGAGCCTGGTTTGGGGGAGCAAGGCCTTTCCAGGGGTCAAGGTGGGTGGTATTTTCCTGCCGTCCGTGTGGCCCATCGCTGGCCTAGAGCTTTGGGGCCTGAGAAGATCCGATGGGGCGCTAGGGGATTTCTGCTGCCAGGGAACCCCATATCATTACCCCGAGGGAAGGCCTAGCCCCCATCACCCACCAGGAGAGGGCAACAGACCCACACTGCGAGGAGTCCGGCTCCCAGCCCCACACCTGTGGGTGGTTTTCCGGCCTGACCACAGGCAGTAGTAAAGCTTTCCCCGGCAGGCCTCTGGGGACACACACGGTGCCGGCCAGTCTCTGAGGGCCTTGGGGTCAAGGACTCAGGCCCCTGGCTGGCCAGGCCCTGTCACGTGTTCTCATTCCTAGGCCTCTTCTCTGAGGCCTTGGGAAGAGGGCTCCTTCAGCTCCTCTACCGAGGCCTCCTCGTTGGAGAAGGGAAGAAAAACACCTGTTTCCCCAGCTCTGACACAGCGTCCAGTACTTTCTCTCTCGTGCCCTCTCCTCTCGCCTTCCCCTTCTATTCTGGCTCCCTCAGCAGCGCGGGGATCCGTCGGACCCTCCACAGACACTCTGTTCTGTGCAGGGAAATGGAGAACGGGGGTGTTGGGGCTTCCTTGGGTTTCACACTCTTGATCACCCCACCACAACGATCGAGGCTTGACTCTGGCGGTTCTGTGTCTCGTTGCTTTAACCGGCTGCCCCCACACCTGGCAGGTCAGCGGCCTCTCCCAGCTCAGCTGAGCTCCTGACCACGAACGGGTCATAACGCCCTTTCCCACATGGGCAAATGTGCACCTCAGTTTCCGGGCTTCTTGTGTGACGAGGACTCTGCAGGGAGGTGAACTGAAAATGGGATATCGGAATTTAACACCGTTCCGCTTTGAAAAATGAAATTGCCACGACATAAAAACGAGCAAGCAACAACAATAAGTCAAACACAAATAAAGCAAGAGGAGCTTAACCATGCTCCTGAGGGAGGCTTTGATATGGGTGTGAGATCCCACAGGGGAGACGGGGCGGTGGTCACGTGGCTCTGGTGACAGGGGTGGGGACGGTGTGGGTCCCGTCCAGTTCACAGGAGGCTTGCTTCTCTCAGCTCTGGTACCTGCACAGCTGCCTTGATTGTCACGGAGCCCAGCTCCTCTCTGCCTAGAACTTAGAGAATTTTTTTAAAAATGCTTTAAAAGTTGATCATATAGTACTTATGTTTAAATTTACTGTATCTGCATTTAATTTTTTAAAATGTCCATCCTCTCAGTACACAAATCTTAAGTGCATGGTGCAGTGAATATTTATAAATCTATAGACCCATGTAACCACCACTAGATCACATATAGAACATTCCAGACCCCAGAAGCCTCTTTTGTTCCCCTTCCCTGTCGCTCTCTCTCAAAGATAATCACCCCTCTGATTTCTCTCACTGCGAATTAGTTGTATCTGTTTTTTTTTTTTTTTTAATTGTGGTAAAAAATACGTAACGTAAAAGCGTTTCCATTTTTACCATTTTTCAGTCTACAGTTCAGCAGCAGTAAGTACGTTCACGTTGGGCAGCCATCACCTCCATCCATCTCCAGAACTTTTCTATCAACTCCAACTGAAACTCTGTCCTCATTAAACACTAAGTCCCCGCTCCTCCTCCCCCAGTCCCTGGTACCCACCTTTCTACTGTCTGTTTCTGTGTCTCTCATGTAAGTGGAATTATACAATTCCTTTTCTGTCTGGCTTATTTTACTTAATGTAATGACTTCATGGTTCATCTGTGTTGTAGCGTGTGTCAGAATTGCCTTCTTTTTTAAAGCTTAATAATATTCCATTATATGGATATACCACCTTTTATATATCTACTCATCTATAGATAGATACTTGGGTTGTTTCCACCTTTTGGTGGCTGTGAATAATGCTGCTGTGAACACTGGCGCACAAATGTCTGTTTGAGTCCCTGCTTTTACTTCTTTTGGGCGTGTACTCAGAACTGGAATTGTTGATCATATAGTACTTATGTTTAAATTATTAGGGAACCACCATACTGAATTGTGTGTTTTTGAACTTGACTTGTAGGGAATCGTTTTATGCTTGGTTGCATCTTAAATGCTTCAATTAAACAAACTGACGCTCAAAGGCTTTCTGATACTAGCATTGTTCACAAGCCCGCTTCATTTTGCTCATTCATTACAATTTGATTATGGTTTGGATGACCCATAGCTGACTCTGAAATTATGGTCCAAGACCCCCTGCAACTTCTGAGGTGCTGTTAAAAATGCAGATTTTAGACTTCCAGATTAAAAGAGAGAGTAAAAGACAATCAGAGACACTAAATCAAACAGTTCAAGGAGCACTGTCTCCAAATGTGAAGAAGTCTTCGGCAAACTTCAACGAATTCATTTTACTTATAATTCTCTTTTTGCGTGATCAATAGAGTGACATAGGATTTTTTAAAAAATCTACATTTAAATAAGTCTAAAAGAGCTCTCCCAATAAACATTAAAAATTCTAAGTGAGAAGAATCACTTTGTCAATTTATTCGGCCATGTTTTTATTTTCCAAGTGGCATATAAAATAATAATGTGGCTCACAGTGAACGATGGTCTAGATTCTATGAAACCCAGGGAAATATTGACGAGAACATAACACTCATGACGACCACGGATTGAGCACTTACACTATGGACACTGGTTCACACGCTTCGCGCATACGATTTTTTCTATTTCTCACAATATTCTTTAGGTATTTGTTATTATTTTCATGTTACAAATTAAGAAACTGAGGCATAAAAATGAAATAATTTGGCAAAAGTAACATAGCCCGTCTGGGCTAACACTGCATTTTTTCCTTTTTCTTTTTATTCTGAAACAATTTCAAAATACAGAAATTGTTAAAAGCGATACAAAAAATTCTAACTTTTTAACTGCAGTATCCCCTCTACATTTATTAGTTGGCATTCTACTGTAAGAAAGAGCTTTTTTTCCTCCCCATGTTTTAATCCACTTTAATCCATGTGGACTAATGGAGTCCTATTGTATTAAATGGATAGCGGTCAGTTACTATCATTATTTGTTTGGATGTTTGAATCATTCTAGGTTTGGCCAATGAGAGCTCCTTAAAATTGGCTCCTACATCCTTTTGACATATCCCCAGCATTCATTAAGGCCTTCCTGATTTCCAGGTTTCGTAAAATACTCCCATCTTATCTTGGACTTCTCATTCCCCAGCCTTGGACTTCAGCATTTCTCCAAGGAGCTCTGCTTCCTTTCAGTGAATAATGGCATTCAGAGCTCACTGCGGTTGGGGTGTCACTGCCCTCAGATCCTCTCAGTGGCCAGAGCCTGGAAATGAACACACGAGCAATGATCGAATGAATGAATGGACATATCTAGTTACAGCCATATGTATTTCCATATCTATCATTTTGAAAAAAGATACTTGTACTTCCAATCCAAAAACACTGGATTGTCCATTCTAGCTTTCTCCCAAATGTCTCTGTACCTCTCCTCCTGGCTGTGAG